GTATTTTTGCTTTTAGGGTCTCTACCTCTGCTTTGGAATTCTCAGCATCAAGAATGACAAGCTCATGGTTTTTTCCAGCAATTTCTAGTTCTCTTTTGAGGTTCTCTACTCTATCCTTAAGCAAATCTGCATTCTGCTCACTTTCCTCTAGTTTTTCTAAGACTTGGAGCTGCTTCATTTCCTCTGCTGTGATGCGGATTTTAAGCTTTTCAACACTATTTCTCAGCTGACACACTCCCTCCACTGGTGAGCTCAGACTCTCTTCTTTGGCCATAGAGGTCTCTTGGGCATCACACAAGGCTGCTACTTCTTCATTTAATTTCTTCAATTGTGTGTGAAGCAATTCCTCTGCAGTTTTAGATTCTTCTTTAATATGTATTTTCTCTTGCTCCTTTTCTTCTAGTAAACTTTGAAGTGAAGAGACTAATGTGTCTAACTCAGACACTTGACTTTGTTTTTCTTGTAGCTCTTTATTCAGGTTTTCATTTTCAGACCTTACTGTGACAAGACCTAATTCTAAACCTTTTGAGCTTTCAGTCAACTCTTGTATTTTTGTTTTTAGGGTCTCTACCTCTGCTCTGGAATTCTCAGCATCAAGAATAATAAGCTCATGGTTTTTTCCAGCAATTTCTAGTTCTCTTCTGAGGTTCTCTACTCTATCCTTAAGCAAATCTGCATTCTGCTCACTTTCCTCCAGTTTTTCTAAGACTTGGAGCTGCTTCTTTTTCTCTGCTGTGATATGCACTTTAAGCTTTTCAACACTACTTCTCAGCTGACACACTTCCTCCACTGGTGAGCTCAGACTATGTTCTTTGGCTGTAAATGTTTCTTGGACATCACACAAGGCTGCTATTTCTGTATTTAACTCCTTCATTTGTGTTTGAAGCAACTCTGCTGCAGTCTTATACTCTTCCTCCTTTTTTTCTATTAGACTCTTAAATGAAGAAAGCAAGGGCTCTAATTCCAACACTTGACTTTGTTTTTCTTGTAATTCTTTTGTTAGATTTTCTTTTTCAGATCTTACTGTGACAAGAGCTAATTCTAAACTTTTCAGCATTTCTGTCATGTCTTCTATTTTTGATTTGAGAGTCTCTATCTCTGCTTTGGCATTCTCAGCATCAAGAATGACAAGCTCTTGGTTTTCTTCTGACATCTGCAATTCCCTTTCAAGATTTTCAACTTTGTCTTTAAGTGAATCAGAATGACGCTCAGTTTCTTTCAGTTTTTCTAAGACACAGAGCTGCTTCTTCTCATCAGCCTCAATGCGGACTTTCAGTTTCTCAATGCCATTTCTCAGCTGGCGCACTTCCTCTTGTGTTGAGCTCAGTCTCACCGCCACCTCACCTTTCTCCACTAATGCAGCCTCCAAGGCCTTACAGTGGGCTGCCTTTTCATTTTCGGATTCATTCAATTTGTTCTTCAGGCTTTCTAATTCTCTTGCAAGCAAGTCTCTCTCTCCATTCAGTTGTCCAATTTGGCTTTCCAGCTCACCTTTAGCCAAAGACAGTGCCTGTGAATACTTTTCCAGACTCTGCAGCTGCTCCTGGAGATGAGCCTTCTCCTTTAACAGCCCATTTGCATCAGAGGACAAAGTCTGAAGGAGGTCTGTCTTCTCTTTTACTTCAGCCTCCACAACTTGAATGTGATGCAGACACTCACCATGATGAGATTCGAGCTCTTGTATTTTCTCTTTCATCCTTTCCAGCATCTGACTCAGTTCTTTGTTTTCTCTTGACACAGTATCTAATTCTCCATGAAGCTGGTTTCTCTCTGTTGTGACCACAGAGAGTTCTTCTTCAAGACACGTTATAGCTTTCTGCTTATTTTCACTATTTTTTTCTAAAGACAGCTTCTCTGTTTGTAATGTCTCTAAGTTACATTCCATGGAGAGGGTGTGCTGTTCCATAGTTTTCTCAGATTTCATTCTGTCTAGTTCATTTTCTACATTAAGAAATTTCTCTTTCCAGTTGTCATTTACCACAGCCACATTATCTTCAATCACTTTATGTGATAATTTCTCTGTCATCTCTATATCAGCATTGAGGTCTTCCCAAGTTTTTACTTCCTGGTATAACTCCGAGTTATCACAGGAGAAAATTTCTAATTTTTCAATTAAATCTGATTTGTCTTTCTTAAGTTGCTCAACTATTTTTTCCAATTCTATGCATGCTTCAATCTTGGTAGTTAGTTGCAATTTCTGTAAATTGATTTGTGAGTCTAACTCTTTCATTTCATTTAGCAAACTTTCAAGTTTTTTGTCACGTTCCTCTATGATATGAAGTAATTTCAAATTCTCATTGGCTGTCTCTTTTACCTGCAGCTGGAGATTCTGAATGGTTACCTGGTTCTCTAGAAAATCCATCGGTCCCAAAGCATTAGAATAAGAAAGAGACAATTCAGAAACACACTCTGAACAGCCCTGAGTTCTATCTTCCACTGGAGTCTCATAACTGGTTTCCGAGGACTGTTCTCTAGACCGTTCTGAACCTGTCTGTTTGACTGCCGCAGGCTCACTTATTCTTTCAGTCTCTAGATCGTGGTCCTGATGATTAACTTCTGTATAAAGTTGATGAATGTCAAGCTTTGGTATTCTTCCTTTAGTTTTTGGAGTATAGTCTTCTGATTCTTTTATGTCACAGCTCTCATTTCCATCCTGAATAGCCTGTAATTGTAATATAGTAACAAGAAAGTATTCATTTTTTTAAAGCAGAAACAAAATAGAATAAATAGGAGGCTTACTTATTACTTTAAAGAAATCAGCTTCTCGCCTCTGCTAAATACATTCACTTAATGACTCGAGTCAAATGGCATAATTTTAACCACATTGTCTTAGCTCCATTCAAATGTGCAGTCACAATTAAACAAACATTCAGCAGGTACTTTCTATGGGCAAGGCATTTATCATGGGTAAGGGATTTATCATGAAGACAAACCATTTATTTTATCATCTAAATCACAACTAAATTTCATTTTTTCCCCCCTGATAGGAATATTCCAGGTAGCCCAAATATAAAATTTCTCTTTATTATTATCAAACAACAGGCAAACAATTTCCATACAAAACACTCCCCCACCATCTTTGGCATTTATCCAAATAACCTCGTCAATTCTGACTCACAGTGACCCCCACTGGGTTTCCAAGGCAGTGAATCTTTATGGAGGTGGATTGCCCCGCCTTCCTTCCATGGAGCGGCTGGTGGGTTGGAACTGCCAACCTTCTGATCAGCAGTCAAATGCCTTAGACACTGTACCACTAGAGCACCTTTTAGCATTTATTAGTTAATAAGAAAAGACCACAAGGGAATCATGACTAGCTTCTCAGCCCAAAGGCTTAACCAAAGATCCAGCACTTGCTCTCAATGTGTCTTGGAGTCTTGTTTCTCATCTATAAAACGGACATCTGCTGCAGCTATTTTTACTGCTGCCACCTCCACTGCTTGCCCCCTGCCCTCCATACCTCACAGAGATAGAGGGAATCAAGTGAGATTCCTTTACTATCTAGCATTACCTTGTTGGTTTGTAGAAAAAAAGGTCAATGTTGTAAGTAACTAAGCAATTACTTATTCAATAAAGAAATGTCTCTTTAAATGACTAATAACCAAATCACATTATCTGTATCATAGCAAACTGCAGAAAATTATTTAGTAATATATATTTTTTCTATATTTATTTCACGACTATAATTCTGTAACATTAAAGAGTCTAAAAGGGCATGAGAGGTTAATTTTACATCACATTATCATTCATAAGCTCTAATTCAATCTTTAATTATACTTTATGAATTCATAAAAAATAAAAACATATACCTCCTGGGGAATAAAGAGGTCTTTCTAACTCCATAAAATATTTTTCTCCAGGGGACTTTAACAACATCTTTAGTAGTTTTCCATATAATTGTGTGGAATCCCTGGGTGGCACAAATATTTAAGCATTTGGCTGCTAATCCAAAGGTTTGAGTTTCAAATCCACCCAAAGACACCTCAAAAGAAAGGCCTGGCAATCTACTTCTGAAAAAATCAGCCATTAAAAACTCTATGGAGCAGTTCTACTCTGACACATATGGGGTTGCCATAAGTCAGATGTGACTCAATAGCAATGGGTTTGGGGTCCCTGGGTGGAACAAATGGTTAAGTGTTCAAGTATTAGCGAAAAGTTGGTTGTTTGAACCTACCCAGAAGTGTCTAGGAAAACAGGTCTTGCAATCTGCTTCCAAAAGGTAACAATCTTGAAAACCCTATGGAGCAATTGTACTCTATACACGAGTTGGAATCAACTCGAGGGCAATTAACAATAAGAACAAGTCTAATCATTGAAACATGTCTCCAATTTTCCTAAATTTTTGATTATCTTAAAAACAAATTTGGCATATTTTGTTTTTATGTCCTTGGACCCCAAAATATTTTTAACTTAGAATGTAGATTTCAATTCAGCAAGCATGTACTGTAGATGTAAATTATGTAAACTGAGGGAAATAGCATGTAAATTCCATGTACTTACATCTAATATGTCAGTGCCAAGCAAAGACCGTGAACTTAAGTCAAGACCTTGCAGTTGGAGTCGTGCAACTTCTAGCTCAAGTGACAGGTGTGCAATCTGTTTCTTTTCTGCTGCCAACTTAGACTCTAACTCCACAGTCACAGTTTTCAGCTTCTGTTGCCACTGTTCATTTTCTGACAAATTCTGCTTTCTAAGGCAGTCAATCTCTTTCCTTTCAGAATTTAGCAAGTGTTCAAGCTCTTGAATTTCTTTATTTTTCACAATCCTTTGACATTTAAGTTCCTCCTCCAGCTTCCTGAGGGACTGCAAGTACATCTGACAGAGGATCTCTAGTTCTTCAATACTCCTCACAGAGGTAGATGGAATTTCTTTCTGGGTCAGACTCTCTTCCAGACTGCTACAGGATGTGTCATCTACTTTAGACTGGTTCGTTGAAGCATTTTCTTCCAAATTACTCAAAAGAGATATTTCTCCTGTCTGTTCCAAAAGATCTTTACAGAAAGAGGATTCTCCGAAATTTTTAAGAATAGAGCTGTCAGTCACACAAGAGAAAGATGTTGACAGAAAACGCCCCTCCTCAGATCCTAACATTACTTCCTTCACCTGGTCATCTTGAAAGTTCCTCAGGTTCATTGACAAGACCGAATTTTCAGCTTTTAAAGTGTCAACATAGGACTGTAGTTCTGACATCTTTGAGGTCATTTGATAGTGCTGCTCATGTAAGATTTTGTGTTCACTTTGTAAAAATGAGAATTTCTCCTGTAATTCAGCAAAGTGCATTTGAACTTCTTTATTGGACAATGTCAGGTGCTCGTAGAAATTACTGTCGTCCAAAGGACTCAAGGACACAGACTTCTGCTCATTTTGCTGTTTAGCAAATTCGTCTTCTGGCATTTGTTTCACTAATTCACCTTGGACAAGGCCATTTTCATTGTTTAATTTTTTAACATCATTTACTAGTTTCTCTACCTCTTCTGCCATTTTACTACTTGCTGTGATACATTCTAATCTTGAGTCATTCAGCTCAAATGTGAGTTCACACTTTTCAACCTGCAACATTCCACACATTTTCTCTAGCTCATTCAGCTTTGTCATTGCTATTTGTAGAGAACACTGTAGGTGTGTGTTGTCATTTTGACTTGTTGACAACTGATGAAGCACTGAAATACTTTTTCCTTCTGTATCTACTTTGCAGTCTTTAAGGCCACTAAGTTCTTGTGACTGAGAATCTTGTGGCAAATTTCCAGTTTCTAATTCTCCTCGAATCATGTGTAATTCTTGCTGCAGGCATGCTTTCTCCTTCTCACTTTCCTGAAGTTTTAATTCCATATTTCTTATCACAGCTTCTAAATGTCCTAATTGTGCATCATAACTATCTAGAGAAGTATCTTTAATGTCAAGATCCATCTGACGTTCAACACTAGATTTATTCATCTCACATTCTGTTTCTTTCACAGAGTCACTGTCTAGATTCTGATGCCCAGGCTTAGTCTCTGTTGACCTCATTAGGTGCTCATTCTCTTCTAGTAAGGCATTAACTTCCTTTTGCATCCTACTTTGGTCTTCCTTTAAAGTCGTGATTTCTTGCCTTAAACCATCAGCCTCACCCTTGGAATTGTTTCGGGTATCTGTAATCTCAGATCTCAAATCATGCTGCACAGTCCCCAACTCTAGCACTAGGCTCTGGTTTCTTTCTTCAGCTGAAGCTAATTTTGTTAAGAATGCTTGGTGATCCCTTGCAAATGCTTCCTTCAGCTGTTCCAACTCATCTTTCCTAGTTTCACAAAGACTAGTGCACTCATTTAGCAAGCATTCTAATCTAGAGTTCTTCTCTTGTAGCGCATTGTAGTTTTCCCTAAGATTCTCATATGCATTTTCTGTTTCTTCACACCTTTTTAGTAAAATGAATTTTTCTTGCTTGTACTGAACAGATAACTCTGACATGCTTTTCTCTCTTTCATCTATGTGATTGGAAAAACTCTCACTTTTTCGTAGTAAGTTCATTTTCTCTTGATTTAAGGTTGCATTAATTTCCTTGAGAGTTCCATTCTCCTGGGTCAGCTCTTCAATTTCTTGTTTACTAAGAGAAAGGATGGAACTCATTGCCTTCTTCTCTGAGCTCAGGGTTTCGGACAAAAGCTGTAGCTCTTTTACAGAGTCTTCAAGTAAACCACTGCTCTTTTTTAATTCCTGATACTCTGCTTGTTGAGTTTCTAATTTCTCACTCAAAAGTTGCAGCTCTTTTTCCTTGTTCTCAAGGGCAGCTAAAGTTTCAGCAACAACATTTTGATGAACAGAAGTGTCTTCTTGTAACTTATTAATGCGTTGATTTGTTTCAGCCACAAAACTTTGATGCATCTGTTCTGCTTTCATGAGATTTTCTTCTATTTCTCGTTTAATTTGCACCAACTCTTCACACTGCTTCTGCAGATCTGAGTTCACCTGCTTTTGAGACTCCAATGAAAACTCAAGTGAAATGACTCTGTTTTCTAAAACGGCTGAATGTGTGGGACTTTGGTCTGCTTCTAAATGGTGTCTACTCCTTTCTAAAGGCATGCTTCCTTGTTCTCCAATTATCTTTGCCAAGGAATTATTCATTGTAGCCTGCTGTTCAGAAGTCAAAAGGCTTCTGTTATGATCCTCATTTATCTCCAGAGAAGAATCTTTAGATTTTAACAGATCTCTGAAGTGCTCATATTCAGCATGCAAGTCTTGGTAACGCTGGTCTTTGTCCATTACTTCACTTGACAGTAACTGAAGCTTGTGTTCTAGATCTTGAACTTGCCCAGTAAGCTGAGACGTTTTCAAGCACATATTTTCTATTTCCTTTTGATGTTTCTGATCTGAGAACTCAGCTTTCTGCTGTAGTTCTATGTAAGCTTGTTTCTGTGCCTCTAGTTCTACACTCTTGCTGTTGATCACATTCTGAAGGTTTCTGATCTCGACATTTAGGTTTTCTCTTTCCATTTCCATTGTTTTTACTCTTTCATTGTATTCTTGACTTTTTATTTGCTGAGTCTTGAGACAAGTTTCCAAGTGATTAATTTTATTCTGCAAAGTTTCCTTTTCTGATTCCATCTGATTTAAAAGTTGTTCTCTTTCACTTTTCCAACTATTAAGGAGAGTTTTCTCTTCTTTCAATTCTTCACATTCTTTCTTTTTTAATTCCAAAGTACTTAATAAAGCTTGAGACTCTTTCTCAGTTCTGCTTAACTTTTCATTTAGTTGTTCAATGTGATGTTCTCTTTTCTTCAAAAGGTCTTGAGAACAATCTCGCTGCTTTTCCAGATCAGCCAAAGCAAGCTTCAGTTTCTCTAAAGTCAAGGAGTTTTCTTGCTGGTTTATTTTTTCTTGAAGATCTCTTAATATTGTTTCCTGAGAAGTATTCTTAGCTATTTAGAAAGTAAATAAATAAACAAATTTGTCAATGCTTTTAATAAGTATGTATTCTACAAGAATTCTAAACTCTAAAAAAAATTCTATAAAAATTTGTATTGTTACCTGGGTAATTCCAAAAAGGAGATCACCTGATAATTACCTATGCTTATATACAGGCAATGAGAAAAATGGTAATTTTAAGACTAGTAATACATTTGTTAATCTTCTTTCCAAGAAGCTTAATAAACTATTGTATAAAGTAGCAAACATTTTCGACAAGTACTATACTTTCCTTACTATTTCTTCTTCTGTGTATGTCTATATGTATATGTGTACTGTTTTTGCTCTTCTTTAGCATATTTCTTCAAAGGGAGAACATAAAGACAATCGCAGAACGGAAATACCTCACATTCCTCTGGAGTAAGCTTGATGTCCAAGAAAAGTAAATAATGACTACTCCACCATTCCAGCTGAAAATCCAAATGATTAGGCTTAAGTATAAAAGAGTGAACCAAGCCAAAAAAAAAAACGAACTCACTACTGTCAAGTCGAATCTGACTCACAGCAACCCCTCCTTGGGTTTCCGAGGTGTTATCTCTAGGGAAGTAGATTGCCCAGCCTTCCTTCTGAGGAGTGGCTGGTAGGTTTGAACCACCAGTCTTCTGGTTAGCAGTCAAATGCCTTAGGCACTATCTATATATCAGTAACTCTTAACATCTGTATGGGAGTATTGTCAAGGACTAATATTCATCCACCTCCCAAACCTTCACAGTAAAGGTGGTGTCTATGAATACCAACATCTTAGGGAAATCATCCCCCATTTCATTTCCATCACCACTTTGTTTTCTGCCCAATAACTCATCTCTACCCAATGGCCCTTCCTACTTAAGAATGACTACAAATGGTTTCATCAGTGATGAGAAGCATTCACAGTTCTTAAGTATCTGGAAGGAAAACCTCAATAGTAGATGATAAAAGTAACATATATTATAATCTCAGATGTTAAATTAAAACCAAAAATAATACATATTTTTAACACACTAATCTCAATTTACCTTGAGACTTGATGGCTGAGACCCAGCTCCATAAGGGCTATCAAGCCACTTTACCTGTGAAAATCTCAAGCAAACATTATAGAAACCAGTGCTTAAATGGGAGCTCTGGTAGCATAGTGGCTAAGACACTTGCCTGCTAACCAGAAGGCTGGCGGTTCAAACCCACCAGCCACTCCTCGGAAGGAAGGTTGGGCAATCCTACTTCCGTAGCGATACTGCCTCGGAAACCCAAGGAGGGGTGGCTATGAGTGGGGGCCGACTCGACGGCACATAACAACAACAACAGTGCTTAAAAAGAAAAATGTTGTAACCTTTCCTTTTCTTGTAATTTTCCATCAAGAAAGCTGAAGGCTGATATTTCTACCTGCTGCCATGGAAAAATTAAAAGCTGTCTTACAAAAATTAGTATTAAAAAGTAAAGAAAAAAAAAGTCACAGAGAAGTGTGACACACTTCACAGATCAGATTAAAATACCCCACATGGGAAAATTAAGCAAAAGATATATGCCACAACTTAACATTGTGAAAATCTCAGTCAATACCACCCAAAGTGATCTATACATATAACACAATCCCAATCCAAATCCCAACGACATTCTTTAACTAAATGGAAAAACTCATCTCCAGCTGTATATGGACAGGAAAGAGGCCCCAAATAGCTAAAGCATTATTGAAGAACAACAAAGTAGGAAGCATTATACTTTCTCATCTCAGAAATTAAGTACATAGCCACAGTAGTCAAAACAACCTGGTACCGGTACAACAAAAAACACATAGACCAACAAAAATGGAGGGCTCAGAAGTAAATCCATCCATCTAAAGACAAAGGGTCAAAGTCCATTCAAGGAGGAAGAAACAGTCTCTTTAACAAATGGTGCTGGCAAAACTGGTTATCTGTTTGCAGAAAAATGAAACAGGATCCAGGTCTCACACCATGCACAAAAACTAACTCAAAATAGATCAAAGACCTAAAAGTTAAACCTAAAACTATAAAGTTCCTGGAAGATAACATAGGGACAAAGCAAGGAGTCCTAACTGATTTGGCACAAATATGCTACCAAACATAACTAAAAATGCAAACAGAACATGAATGAAATAACTGGGACTTCCTAAAACTTAATACTTATGCTCATCAAAAAACTTTGCGAAAAACTAAAGAGAACCTACAAACTGGGAGGAAAAAAAATTGGCAATGATATACCTGACAAGGGTCTAATTTCCTATCTATCAATCTATCTATCTATTTAAACTTCATCACCTCAAAAATAAAAAGACAAGAAATGCAGAAGGACATAAACAGACACTTTACCAAAGAAGACATTCAAGCAGCTAACAAACACATGAAGAGAGGCTCACAATAATTAGCCATTAAACTCACTGCTGTCGAGTCAGATACGACTCATAGCGACCTCTCCTTAGGTTTCCGAGGCAGTATCACTACGGAAGTAGATTGCCCAACCTTCCTTCTGAGGAGTGGCTAGTGGGTTTGAACTGCCAGCCTTCTAGTTAGCAGTCAAAAGCTTTAGGCACTATGCCACCAGAGCTCCTTAATCAGCCATTGCTGTTACGTGCCGTTGAGTCAGACCTGACTCATAGCAGCCCCTCCTTGGGTTTCTGAGGCAATATCACTACGGAAGTAGATTGCCCAACCTTCCTTCTGAGAAGTGGCTGGTGGGTTTGATCCTCCAGCTTTCTGGTTAGCAGTCAAGTGCCTTAGGCACTATGCTACCAGAGCTCCTAATTAGCCATTAGAGAGATGCAAATCAAAACTATGATGAGATACGATCTCACTCTGGCAATACTGGCTTTGATCAAAAAAAAGTAGAAAACAACAAATGCTGGCAAGGTTGTGGGGAGATTGGAATCCTTATTCACTGCTGGTAGGATTGTCAAATGGTATAACCACTATGGAAAATGGCATAGGCTTCCTTAAAAAGCTAGGAATAGAACTACCGTCTGATGCAGCAATCCCAACCCTAGATATATATCCTAGAGAATTAAGAGCTATGACATGAATAAACAGATGCACTCCTATGTTCAACACACCACTGTTCACAACAGCAAAAAGATGGAAAGCAACTTAAGTGTCCATCAACAGATGAATGGACAAACAAAACGTGGTACTTATATACAATGGAATACTATGCAATGATAAAGGATAATGATGAATCCACCAAACACTTCACAACATGAATGAATCTGGAGGACACTTTGCTGAGTGAAATAAGTCAATCACAAAAGGACAAATAGTGTATACTATCACTTTTATAAAAAGTTAAGAATAGGTTCACACACAGAAAGCAACATTCCTTAATGGTTACCAAGGACAGGAGGGAGAATCACTAAATAGCACACATGTTAATTCTGGCGAAGGGTAAATCAATGCACAACGTGAGTGAAGTCAGCACAAAATGACCAAGGTAAATGAAGACACTGAAAGGTACACAAGAATAAAGGACAACTACAGTAAATGCTGTAACACATATAATTATGCAACAATAGTAATAAGAATGAAAATCCGTGAATGGCACCCCAGCACTAATGACGAAGTCCAAAGAAACAGAAACCAACAAATGCTGGCAATGGTATGGAGAGATTGGAACCCTCATACACTGCTAGTGGGACTGTAAAACGGTGCTACCACTGGAAAATGGTATGACACTTCCTTAAAAAGCTGGGAATAGAAATACTACATGACCCAGCAATCCCATTACCAGGTATACAGAAATAAGAGAAAGTAAGAGCCATGACACGAACAGAAACATACATACCTATGTTCATCGCAGCACTATTCACGAGTGAAAACATGAAAACGACCTAAATGCCCATCAACAAATGAATGGCTAAACAAACTATGGTCCATAAAGGCAATGAAACATTATGCAAAGTTAAAGAACAATGATGAGTCTGTGAAAAATCTTATAACATGAATGGACCTAGAAGAAAATATGCTGAGTGAAATTAATCAAATTCACAAATACTGAATGTGAACACTACCATAAAAAGTCAAGAAAATGTTTTCACACAAAAAGAAATATTCTTTGACAGTTACCAGAAAGGGAAGGGAGAATATACTAACTAGAGGGTAGACACATACTAACTTGGGTGAAGAGGAAGGCAATAATCAAAAAGGAGGAGGTCAGCACAAAATGATCGAGGAAAGGAGGACACTGGGAAGAGTACAAGACTTAAAGGCATTAATGTATTAATTAATATATTAATTATATTAATATATTATTATTAATATATTAATACATTGATAGATTAATTCATATACAATCCTGCAATAACAGTAATAACAATAATCAATAATCTAAGAGTGGATACAGATAGATATGAAAGCTCAACAGGTGTGGAAAGGAGAATGGGACTCTACCCACGAATATGTATAGGTTTGACAGAGGATAAATCTACATATGTGTTTATACATGCTGCAAATATATTCAGGTATATAGTAGATCATACAGGGGCAAAGTTATAATACCTTCTTAGCCAAAACTATAAGCCATGAAGGAATGAGCTGTTGGGTCTGGGGACTCAGGACCACAGTCTCAGGGGATATCGAGGTCAATTGGCACAATACTTTCCACAAAGACAGTATTCTAGATCCTACCTCGGTGAGTAGCAACTAGGGTCTTAAAAGCTTGCTAGTGGCTTAGCACAGCCGATTCAAAATGGTGTCTGGTCAGTAGTTCCTATGCTAATTCCCTCTAGCATCTTAGTGCCTAGGTGCAGCATTTTGAAATAGGGATTCTAGTGCTCTGAACAGCTCACTAAGTCAGACTGCACCAAACTCAGGGGAGTAGGATCAGAAAGGAGAAAGGGGCAAGGGAAAAATAACAAAAATAGGGGAATCTACCCTGCAGAGCACCAACCAGCAGGTGAGAAAGGCCATCAGAGACCTCCCTGGGGGATCATGGACTGGCAGGTGAGAAAGGGCATCGGAGACCTCCCTAGGTT